TCAGACAGGGCGACTCCCTTTCATGTGACTTCTTTAATCTGATGTTGGAAAAGATAATAAGAGCTATAGAACTGAACCGCTCAGGAACAATTTTCTACAAGAGCGTGCAATTGCTGGCTTATGCCGATGACATCGANACTAAAAGGAGTTGCCTATACGCCGCTATGTCTGAATTTGGCATCCCCTCAAAACTCATACGGCTGTGTAAAATGACGTTGAACAATACCACCAGCTCCGTCAGAATTGGGAAAGACCTCTCCGAGCCGTTCGCCACAAAACGGGGTTTCAGACAGGGCGAATCCCTGTCATGTGACTTCTTTAATCTGATGTTGGAAAAGATAATAAGAGCTATAGAACTGAACCGCTCAGGAACAATTTTCTACAAGAGCGTGCAATTGCTGGCTTATGCCGATAACATCGACATCATCGGTAACAAAAATCGGGAAGTCTGTTCTGCCTTTTCCCAGTTTGATAAGGAAGCAAAGCGAATGGGTCTGGTGGTAAACGAGGACAAGACGAAGTATCTCCTGTCATCAAACAAACAGTCAGCACATTCGCGCTTTTGCACCCACGTCACTGTTGACATTAATAATTTCAAGAAAGTAGAGAATGTCGTTTACTTGGGAACCAGCATTAACACCGATAATAATGTCAGCATTGAAATCCAACGTAGAATCACTCTTGCCAACAAGTGCTACTTTGGACTGAGTAGGCAATTCAGGAGTAAAGTCCTCTCTCGACGTACGTTATGCAAGGAACTTGTAAAAAACAAAAATTACCCGCACTACTATTGTGATGAGCTAATTAAGCCAGCAACATTTTGATAAATTTTGGCTATTTTGCTTTCATGAGTATGCAGTTTAATAACCCATTAAATTCTAGGGTAATAATGTGCAAGTCTTAAGTTGCTAAAAAATATTAAACTGCATACTCAAAAAAAGTCTAAAAAATCCGAGTAAAAAGTTGAAAATCTAGCTGAAACTTTGCAGATATTTCATAATTTTTAGAAATCTGGATTTATGTGGCGTTAGTTATATAATGAGCTAGACTTTTATGGAAAAATAATAAACATTAAATAAACAAAAGAAAAGTAGCTAAAATTTATCAAAATGTTGCTGGCTTAATTAGCTGATCACAAGTGTAATTCATACAACCAAGAAATGTTAAATGATCTCACCGCTGTGCCTAAGACTGTATCTGCATTTATTTATTTCTTGTTTGTTTTAAAATGTACAAAGTACATATATGTATGTATCTAAATGTTTTGTATTCGAAACATTTAATCTTAAATAAATGAATTGTATGCTTTCAGAATGCTTTTTTGTAATTGAAATTTATTTGGTACGTGGTAAACGATTTCGGTCGGATTTGGGAAGAAAATTGTTAGGGGAAAAAATTGTTAGCGGCAACGCTGCTCGAAATCTTTCTAGGAAATCTTATTAAAAAGTGCGAAATTTTTACCTAAGTTTGTTAAATTTTTAAAGAAATTAAAGAAATTAAATAACAAAACAAAACGATTAAACCTTGTCAATATGATGTGCGCTTATAATTATGACACGGAGTGTATATGTACTAACATATCGACGATGTTTTTGCAATACCGCCTACCAAGGCAATGCATTCAAAGAATAAACCTCCTTTTCGCTCTCCTGTAAAATTTGAGTGCCGTAAGATAGGCGGTTTTGCAATTGGGCGATGGGCGGTTTTGCAAAAACATCGACGATATGTATTTACCTTTCTTGATTTTTTCTTTCTTCATACACTTGTTTAACATTCTCTCACCTTACTCATCTTACGTTTTGTTGTTGTTTGCTTTAAGAGAAAAGATTTGCAGCATAGGGTCCGATGCCTCCTTGCGCTAATTTTGGATGATGCCCATTGAATTCTAGTACAAGTACAAAGAAGAAATGGCTAAAAATAACGGTTGATTTTTTTAAACTTTTTCTGTCCAGGATGTTTTCGTTTTCTCCCATCTAAAAATAGATTGTGTGTATTCGTTATAGGAAGCAAATGGGAGAAGGAAAAAATTAAAAAAAAAACCGTAAAGATTCTGAGTATAATAGAATCTTTCTAGGAAATCTAGGTTTTGTTAAAGAATGAACTATATTTTTATAAGAAAATAACCAAAATTAAATAACAAAAATAACATGTTAAAACTTATCAAAATGTGGTGCATCTATAATGATTTCGACCACTGTACATACATATTTTCAATTCTCATTCGTGAGCTAAATATGTATGTACTTACATATTTTTCACTTTTTATCATGTTATTAAAATGCTAGCTGTCCAATTTATTGAATAACATTTAATATAATGTTTACCAACAACATGTCAATAAATAAGTAAATATTTTTATATAATCACATGTTTTTAAATGTCGGTTGTTTTCATGAGCCGAATGGTGGTATGGAGCAAAAACTATTTGAGTCGACTAGAGTAAGACGATAACATGAAACAAACTAAAAATATTTGTACATACATATGTATGCATGTATATTAATATTTTTACATAATTTAAATAGGGCGCACACCAGGTATTCAACGTAGGTCTTGATGAATGCCTGGGGTCTTGAAATTTGTTTAATGGTTTCTAAGTGGAATGATGTTTTCTATGAATTGAACATACATACATATATACAGTGAATCAAATAAATGACCACGTCTTGATTTTTTTAAATATTCGTAATATTTTTCAAACAATTTTTTTTATTTTTTATAAAAATATCGTTCAAGCTTTAACCAAAACCATATAAGTCACAGTTTAAAACTTTATACAAAATTTAGGAAAATTCAACAAATTTTCATCAAAATTTCACTTTTTTGTCTGAATTTTTAGTCCATTTTTGGGTATGCAGTTTTATAGCCCACACAATGTTACTCTAATGAAGTGCAAGTTTCAAACCGCTAAAAAAAAAAATCCAGATGATTTTTGAGATTTTTTTTTTGTGACGGATTTTTGCACTTTTTTCAACATAATCAAGAATTTCTTATTAAACAAAAGGCGGGAGAACGTTAGCAACAACATTTCAAAAAATCAACGCCAGTTTTTATAAATTGCACTTGTTATATAAAAACACCGCAAAAGCAGTCTCCAAAAAAAAATTCGCAAAAATCATGCCGATTGAACCTTGTACTTCATTAGACTAAAATTGTATGGGGCAGTAAAATGCGTAACCAAAAATTTTCTAAAGATTCAGACTAAAAAAGTGATCGCAAACGATCTTCAAAGGTGACAGAATTCAAAATTACACGTTTGACAGAAAATGCCAAAAACTATTTCGTTGCACATAGGGCAAAGGAGACTCTTTTTTTCAGCAAATGATAACAAAGCTTTTATCCAGCTTTTTCTGAAAGGTAAATAAAAGCTCTGTGTGCATTTTTAGTGCATAATTTCAAAAATGCTAAATTTTTAGTTGTGTCACTTGTGAAGATCGTGTGCGATATGCATATAGGTACATATGTACATACTTATAAATTATTTGGTACATATATGTACATATTGATATTGCCATGTCAATCATATAAACATACAAGATCAACTCGCCTTCTGCTCCCTTGTAGTAATTATGTAAATAATTAAATCTATATATTTTCCATTGGACAAGTTTGAATATGCCTCCAACGACAAAAATCCTGCCTATACCGACCGTTGCGCCTATAGGCAAAATATTTGTTGTTGATAAGGTTTATCCCATAGAGAACATTGAACCTCTACCGTAGAAGCTTACTTACTTAAAGGTAAATTTCCGGCCGACCATGGTCAGCACGTTTGAATAGCTTCACTGATAATCCCTTACACTTTCGGAGTTTGTTGTTTTCACGCTGGGAAATTGTTTTTTTTTTTTTTTTTTTTTTTTTTTTNAAAATAACATGCGATTAAATAATAAGCAGAGTGAATCCCAAACTTTAATATATGTATAGAGTTATCTACTTACATATATGTAGATTGCACATAATTTTTGATAGATAAATTCATTTGAATGCGAAAAGTAAAAGAGAAAACTCGACAATGAAAATGAATGGAACTTATCTGAGCTCTTAACTGCAGTTAATATATTTTGGTGGAAATGGGCTATTAGATGGCAAAAATACAGCATAAGTAATTACTATTAAGCAGTGCGCGTTTCTACTCCGCAGGGCCTGGGTTTAAGCCCTGGCCAAAGCAACATCGCAAAAAGATATAGAAAATAGGGTTTTTCTTAACAACGGTCGACCCTCGGCAGGCAATGGCAAACCCCCGAGTGTATTTCTGCCATAAAAAGCAGCTTCTCATAAAAATACAATCGCCGTTCGGAGTCGGCGTGAAACTGTAGGTCCCTCCCCATTTGTGACAACATCAAGGCGCACGCCACTAATCGGAGTAGAAGCTCGGCCAAACACTAACATATGTATGTGTATGCGCCAATCTATTACTATTATTATTATTATTTTTAAATCCGCTAAATCCGAATATGGGAGTCCATTGATTCTTCAAGGTCATCTAGATGTCATGCCAAGAACATCGCAAGGTTAAATTCAGAAGAATTGTGTTGAAAATTCAGTTTTATTCAATGATTTTTTTCTTGCTTGGCCTTCAAATGACCTCGAACCTGACGTAGTGGAGGCTATCAGACTTCGTATTCGTATTCAGGGCGTCGAATAACATAGGGATATAAAGGCTTGGTTCAATATGCAGAATTTTTTTTTTTTTTGTAAACCTGTGTAATCTAAGATTCATCGTTTTGTGTTTCAGAAGAAATGAGGAACATGTTGAATCAAATTTCTTGAACGTTTATTATTGATTTCAAAATGATTTAAATCTTTTATGGTAAAAAAATTAGATGTGAAAACAGCGGTTAAGGTTTGATCGAAAAAAATAAAAATACAAAAATAACGGTTATGTTTTGATCGAAAAAATTTAAATCTAATTTTAACGGTTTAATTATGATTTTTATTATAACGATCATAACCGTACGTACCCTGCCTAAAACTAAAAACCTCCATGCCTTTTTTGGCTGTTGGCCAGTGTAATGGATTCAAGTACCTTTGCGTTAATTTATTTATAACAACCACGTATACAAATTTATTGTCTCCAAAGTTCAAAACGACTTTAACCTTTGCGCTTTCTTGTTATTTGGCGATAGATTAACATTTAAAAATACTCCTAAATCAATTTGTTTGTGCATTATTATCAACACAAAAAAAAAGATTATTTAGCAAAACACATATATATATAAATATGTGCAACAACATACCACAAGCAGCGAATTATTAGTTTTCTTTATTTAGCTCAATGGCACAAAAATTGAATATGAATTTTCCTAAAGCTTGGCTATTAAAATAGTTATTGGTCTGTCTAAACGTAGCCTTATTATAGCGCAGCTAAAAAAAATGCCTTTTTTATTTTATTGTATGGGCACGATCCACCGGGCATGGATGAACCGCATAATTTTCTAGGGACAATCCAGTCGGCGAAGTGAGGAGCGATTCTAAATAATAATCCCTTCTATTTGGAAGCTGTTTTAGAAGATCAGACGAGAAGACGTATTTCCGAAGCAAGGAAAGTCAAATACTGGAAACAATCGCAGTGGGGCAAATAATTTAATATTTCGTGCGAATTCACCCTTTCTAAGGAATGTTGAATCAAATGGCCCATAAACTATGAATATTCAATACAAAAAAAAGATAGTAAAGAATTGAGAATGGGTAGGCCTCCCTCTCACGCTTCGAAAGATCAGAAACAACGGCTTAGAAAAAAATTCATTAATTTTTTACTAATTTTGCCGACCGGGACGCTGTACTCACTTACATATATTTATGTTTGTAACTACTACATAAATAAATAAGTAGTTACGAACGTAAGCAAGTATAATGTAAGTATAAAAATATTTGTTTTTTTTTGCAAATAATCTTTTAAGATAGGCTCAGTCAATGCTCCAATAAACCATGGGGGGGCAATTACGCAAACGTATGTGTGTTCATATGTAAAAATGTTGTTGTTTTGTTGCAAAAATTTAAACGCAGCCGCTTACGCATTTGAAAAATTATATGTACATACTTACAGACATATGCACCTAGAGACACATTGAGACCTAGAGGCAGATTGAATATTTATAATTTATAGATTAATAAAATATAAATACTTTTTGTTTTTTTTTCTAAACAGAAATCCTTTTGTTGTCGTTAACACATCCCCTTATCGATTTAAATTTTAATAATTTTATTGATCCTATTTTTCGATTTATTGCCGATTCAAAAACGCCCTATCTCAACATATTTTCAATAAATTTTTAATTGAGATAGGCCGTTTTTGAAACATCTTCTGAGATAGGGCTTTCTTCAAAAAAAAAAAACAATGAGATAGAGCTATTTTCAATTAAATTCTGAAATAGGGCGTTCTTGAAAATTTTTTTTGAGATAGGGTGTTTCCGAACGGGCTTCCGAGATAGGTCTATATTCCACTGCCATGAATACGGTACTTTATTTATTTTTTTTTTATTTCACTGTAAAGCTTATTAGCGATTGTGATTCTTCCGTGCGAGACTTTTCAAGGAGAGTTTGCTTGCTGCTCAGAAAGAAAAAATTCTGCAAAATCTCAGTCATATTCCAATTAGTTAATTCATAGAATAGTATGTAAAATATTGCCGGGGTATTAAATGTGGATCATATGTGTAGATATGTACATCTTATGGTTATTTTGCCAATCGATTTGCGTATGTGGCACATAATTGCAAGCAAAAGAAACCACAATAGAGATGTATGTATGTCTTTTTTTTACAATCATCCAATGATCTGTAATTAGATGATTTCGACGTCAGCACATTATCAATTCGGATTAACTTAGTAAACAACTAAACAACTGAAATGTAAATATAAACAAGATCTTTTTCCTATTATTGCAAT